AAATAAAGTTTACGCTTATTTTCACTTTTTTGAAAACGTTTCATTGCGTGGTAGTAAAAATTGACATAAAAAGTTGAAGTGTAGGAGGATTTCAGCGTCGCCGGTAAATAAGAAAAATGATGCACCGAAAACATTTTGAATTAAAAAATGGTTGGCACACATTATTTCACACCGCTAAGTTTAATACGACTTTAAATACCCGGGAACCTGACGGCTCGACCTGATCATGTTTTCAGTTGCGCCAATGGTTGTTTTATCTGTGCATTACCAGGCACATCACCAAGAATTTCGATAATTGGGCTATCCATCGGTCGGCCATAGCTGGCTGAAACACTACTTATGATGGGGTTGCCTTCGAAATAAGCTGGTTTCAAACGGTCGATACTAATAGTATCTTCACGTCCGTTTCGCTCGATTATGTAGAATTTCTCAGGTCGCTGGGTCATTTTGAATGGCCCGTCGTGGGGTGGCTCAAGTGGTCGACGAACGGCGTCGTGGCGAATGAACACATGTAACATCTTTTGTAAAAGGGGGCGAACGAAGACATCAGTAGTTTGAGGTCTAACCGGAGAAGACCTAACTGAACGCATTGCGTTTGTAATCCTAGTCACATAAGATGCCCTGTCAAAAAGATGTTTGAAAGTTGAGGGGGAAACGAACTCACCTGGTAGGCGAAGGGTGGTCCCATAGACGAGTTCTGCAGGGGTGCATCCAGCATCAACTTTCAACGCATTACGAATACGAGGCGGAGCCTCCGTCCACTGAGGTTTGTTTGCAGCTGAAAGGGAAGCTTTCAATTGTCGATGGGAACGTTCTGCCATGTCGTTCGCTTGCGGATGGTAGGCTGTCGTTTGGAGCCGAGTTCAACCTAAAAGTCAACTTAGAGCGTGAAATAATCCACACTCAAATTGGCGCCCATGGTCGGTTGTGACGTAAGATGGATATCCAGAGTTTGCAAACCGTCTTTCTACGAAAATCTGAGCTACTGTTTCACCAGTAACGTCCCTAACAGGTAGGGCTTCTGGCCATCGTGTGCAACGATCCGCGCAAGTGAAAAGTAGGTACATCCATTAGATGCCGGTAGAGATCCTACAATATCTATGTGGACGTGGTCGAAACGCATGTCTGGGGCTAGAAAAGAACCTAAAGAGCTTTTCGTATGCCTGATGACTTTCCATTTCCGGCAAGCTAGGCACGACTGAGCCCACTCCTTAAAGTTTTTGTTCATTCCCGGCCAGCAGAAATGTTGCACGATAAGCCTGATGGTGGCTGGTACACCTGGATGGGGCAGTTTGTGCAAAGTACTGAAGACGTTGCATCGGCATCTCTTCGGAACTATTGGGCATGGTTGACTGGCAGAGACATCGGATAAAATTGTATCCCTGTCCGGTCCTACTGGACACAATTGTAGCTTGAGAGTTGTGGGTGACATCTCATGATACAGCCCAAGGTCTTCTTTTTGGCATCAAGCTAGTTCAACGAGGTTAACACCCTCGATATGGTTTATCGAGGCTACTCGAGATAGTGCGTCGGCTACGGGGTTATTCGCCCCAGAAATGCCGCGGATATCTGACGTGAACTGAGAAATGTAATCCAGTTGTCGTGACTCACGAGGGGAGTATTCGCCAGATGCCGAGCTAAGAGAGAAGGTTAACGGTTTGCGGTCTGTGAAAAACAGTGGAGTCATGACCCTTCACAGGATGTCGAAAGTGGCGTACAGAGCAGTACATACCTAGGAGTTCCCTACCAAATGTACTGTATCTTGTTTCCGCGTCTTGCAGCCGCCTCGAGAAAAAGGCTAGCGGTTGCCACTGGTTGTCAGTCAATTGTTGCAAAACTGCTCCAATCGCTGAATCAGATGCATCAACAGCAATACTCAAAAGGGGCATTGGGGTCATGATGCATAAGCATGGTTGCGTTCGAAGTGGCTTCCTTGACTTTAGAGAAAGCAAATCTAGCCGCGTTGTCCAGAGCCACGAACTTCGTAGTTCCTCGAAGTAGATCTGCCAGTGGTCTCATGACAGAGGCACAGTTTGGAATAAACCCTCGGTACTAACTTACCAGGCCACTCAAAGTGCGGAGCTGCTTCACAGTGGTCGGCCCTGGATAGTTCGTGATAGCCGCCACTTTATCCCTCAATGGGCGTATAACTTTGTTGTCAATGGTATGCCCAAGAAAGCTGAGTGGTTCAACTCCTATTTCACATTTCTGCAAGTTTGCTGTGATGCCATGTTTTTTGAGTCTTTCGAATAAAAAGTCCAAATGTTTGAGGTGAATTTCCATATCCGGACTCGCAATGAGACAATCATCGATGTAGACGTGGACAAAATTTAAACCCCGGGAGACATCATCCACAAAGCGCAGAAATGTTTGTGCTGCATTCCGAAGACCGAATGGCACGCGCAGGAGTTCAAACAGGCTAAAAGGAGTAATAATGGCTGTTTTCGCGATACCTTCTTCTGCCAAAGGTATCTGGTTATACGCTTTGACCAAATCGATTTTGGAGAAAATGTTCATTCCGCATAAGGTTGCAGTCAAATCGTAAACGTGAGGTATCGGGTAGCAGTCCGGAGTTGTTTTGGCGTTAGGCCTTCGGTAGTCACCGATTGGACGCCAGTCATTGCTATCCTTTTTGGGAACCATGTGCAATGGCGATGCCCAAGGACTGTTTGACGGTTTGATAATGCCAATTCCGAGCATGTGTTCGAATTCACTCTTCGAAGTTTTTAGCTTATCAGGGGCTAGACGCCAAGCTTTGGATACTACAGGTGGACCTGTGGTTGTGACGTGATGCATAACATTGCTGGTTATGCACGGAAGGGTGTGCTTCGGTTGTTGTAACTCTGGATATTTCCCCAGCGCCGCCTGATAGGAGGCGTCGCCTGGTTGTTTAGTTCTACCGATGATTGAACTCGGACCTACGGACCAATGATGGGTATGGAAACGTCAGCCAGGAGGAAAATCCAGTGTGAGACGCTACAGGTCTACGTGAACCTAAGTTGAGGCAGGCATACCGTCTCCAAAATGTTGCGATCGCCTCGCTGTCGGCGGCTTGGAGACTGAAGGATGGGCCATGATGATGCCCCTGTGTCGGTAAGGGAAGAAAGCTCACATCTGCGCCCGTGCCGATGAGGTAGCAAACCTTCGTTTTTATATCGGTGACGTAGAGCAAACGGCTGTTTCCGCCGGCTACGGTTGCCGTGAACACCTGCTGGCGCGGCAGTTTCCCGGGTTTGCGTCCCTGTTGAAACGGCATGTCTTCCGGCGTCTTCTGGCTTCGTCTCCATAAGTGTTATGAGACCAGTACCATTTCGAGTTTTCCACCCTGTTAGGTTTGGTTCTTGGACAACCACATGAGTTGCTGCGATGCGCCAAGGTTCGTTTCTGTGAAGTGCTACGTAATCTAGGGTTTTGAGCTCGTAGCAACTGTTTAGCAGAGTTGCACAGCTTGGTCACCTCTGAATCCTGGCTCTCTGGTTTGTCGCAGATAGAACATACGTTGGGGACGGGTCTGCCAGAGATCTCCAGTATTTTACCTGCTGAGGCTTCCAGGTCATCGAGTGGGACTGACTGAAGTGTCACCAACACAGTTTGCGCCGGTTGTGGTAGTTTTGAGAGAAATAATTTTCGGAAAAGGCCATCGTCGAATGTTCGTGCACCCAAAACTTCTCGCATGCATGCGGGGACTTCAGTAGCTGAGTGGCTGCCTAGCTCGATGTTACGAAGCAATTAGTCCAGGCGCCGGCAATCTGTGAAATCGCTTTTCTTCAAGAGTGCAGCTTCGAGAAGTGCATGAGGATCTCTTACTTCAGGACTGAACATATGTGCTGTTACATGCCAGTTTAATTCTCGCGGTAGTGAACGTATGACAGCAAGAAATCGAGAATGAGGATCTAAGACGCCCTGTTCTCGGAAATCTGCCTCGGCATACAGAAGCTATGTTTCTGCATTATCTGGCCAATGTGGCAGGAGTTGGACCGTGTTCATAGTCGGCTTAATACGAATAAGCTTGGGAGTGTGGTCGGACATGAGAAAGTGTAGTAAATGGATATTTAAATGTTATCCGAAATGAAAACAATATACAAATATAAAATGGAACGGGCTCATCAATTCAATATTTGCTGTTGGTCGGGAAATGTGATCACGTCGGGCTCACCAATTTAGGAATCGTCCAGGTGCGAACTTGACAGACGCAGTGGCCGATCACTAATTATTCGAACTTGTTATATACCCATAACTACGAGACCAGGAAGGAACACAATAGCGTAGTCGGATGGAATAATATATTTTCGAGGTCGGGCCGAGATACCGATGCTTTCCAGTTAACTGGCTAGAGAGTTGACCACGAGCAGTGCAACGTAACACGACAGCGTGCCGAATGGCGAGGATGCCTGGCCGAAAGTCCTCAGCTTAGTGAGTCCAGTCGAACTGGCAAGGTCAGAATTAATGTTGGGTCTCATCAAACCCTAGGATTTTGGGAAAGTGTGTGACCCTACGACATTTTCAGCATTCGGTGGATGGTCGTGATTTCACCATTTTCATAGACCACAAGCAGTTAAATTTCTCTCTCTGCTTGGCATCTGATAAACATTCCCCACGTGAGTCACGACGGCTTGATCACATTACCTAGTTCACGTCAGGCACCTATCACGTGTCTGGAGTAAATAACTCCGTAGCCAACGCATTGTCTCGAATATCTAAACCACTTTTGTCACGGACAAGACTCAACCTTCTGTGGCTTGCGTTTATCTTCCGCGTATAACGTGTCTTGCTCCGTCAGGCACCATCTGCTCACTATTAAAAATGTCAATCATATTTCACCTATCCCCACAACGATTCGGTCAGCTCCTTCACCTCTCACTGTCTGCTGCCCAACTCCTTTCATTTTAATGCTGCTAACCACTACATCCGTTTTTCTATAAAATTTAATCGGAAGCTTGACTTTCCTCCTTTTTCTTGTTTTTATTTTCAATTTGCTCTCTTTGATTACCCATTGAACCCTCCTTTTTTGATGACGACCATGAACAGCTGTCTGGCAATACGATATTTGAAGGTACAGTCCGCACCACAGCCTCCGGAAAAGTCGTATATAACCGTACAAATTAAAAAAAGACAACTACTCCTCGGGTTTACCTCGGCTTCCTTAATCAATTTCATTGCCTAACGTTTTTGAGGTTCGTTTAATGAATGCGTTACTTTGAGTGTAGCGTAAGTCTTCGTAGGTGTTTCTCACTGCATAGGTTCTGTACATTAGCATTCCCTCGTCATTATGTCGCCTACTACGCGCACGTTAAGGCTCCCTTCAAAGCTTCGTTAGGGAGATGCAACAGGATTTTTATTCCGTCATATAGTTTCAGCTCTGTGGCAAATAATCGGACATGTTGGAGCTGCAACAGGTTAGTACCAAATGTAGCATTTTTCTGTGAATGTGGCATGTTACAGCCGTTTAATGATAACTGGACCTACTTTGACGTTCTGGGGTATTCATGTCCACAAATAGTTGTCGATATAAACGATCTTACTGATCGGATGAGACGGACTCAAAGAATATTGCACCCAGACAAATTCAGCAAGAAATCTTCATATGAAAGAAAAATTGCTTCAGATGCTTCTGCACTTGTAAATAAGGCATATGATATCTTGCGAAAGCCGGTGAGTCGTTTCGAATACATTCTAAATCTTCATGGAATATCGACTGATGATTCGTGCTTTCAGAAGTCAGATAATTCAGTTTTTCTGTCAGAAGTGATGCAGATCAGGGAAGAAGTTGAAGAAGTGATCTACACAATTACAAATTTTGATGGCTCAGGAAGTGATTTAAGTGCACTGACAAACAATCTCAGTAAGCTTGTTAATGACCTTCGCCGAAGGCTGAATGATGAAGAGAAAACCATTGTCAGTAACATTGAAAAATCAGACTGGTCCAGTGCCTTGGTTTCCCTTTCTCAGTATAAGTATATTATGAAGATACAAGAGCAACTGCGTGAACACGAGCTGATCTGGAAACAGCTGGGAATCAATGTTACCACCGCTTAAAAGCGACATTGCAAAAACTGATATACTTGTTTATTTGCAGTTACTACTCTACCTATCCTACTATTTTCCTTTAAAGTAAGAGATTTTATACAGAATGAAGCTATGGAAAACAGTGTTTTTCCCTTAAGATGGGTGAATTGACATTTGTGCGCCGAAGTTTTGACAATTTAAAATAAACTATATTCCGTGACCTGTTTTTGGATTCAGGGTGTGGGCTCTCGCTCAAGACATCGGTTATTCGTAATTGTCCGTAGATGTCTGTGAAGATCTATTTAATTCTCGAGTGCGGTCACCGTTTGCTAGGGTAAGGAGTTTCAGTCGTTGATCTTTGAGTGAATAGCACAGATCTAACTGAAATGATTTGGTTGTGTTCTTTGAACCCTTTTGTGGTGCTCTTAAAAGGAATTACTCATAAAGGACAAAGAAGGTTTATCAAATAAATCATTCCTGAGGATACAGAATACTAATTTTAAGTCACTACGGGAATAGACTTAACTACTTGAACACTCATACAGTAGGCTTGACAGGTCAACAGCTTAGTCCTGGGCCTAAATGTGATCCAGTTCATTGGCATGACTTCTGGAACAATGATCGGCTGACCAAGTTCATTATCGAAGACCTGAAAGTTATATTTGATCTATTCGGAGTATTCTCTGTTTTCACTATTATTATTGAGTCTTCGGTCACAAACAATAGCATTTCGTGCAAAATAAAGTACTGACAGTCAAATAAGTTGTCCAAATAGTACCGTCTGCGTATTTCTTGTGGTTAGTTTATGGTACATTTTTTAGAGTTTGGTTCAGATATTTCCTACATATTTTGCTTTGTTCTTTGTTTTCTGACGGTGCAAAACTAGCTTTCCGTTATTAGAACGGAACGTTAGCAGGTGGTGATGTCGTCTAACACTTGCAGATTAGTCACACCAAAATGTCTATGGAATTAACCTGACATATATATGGGATACTTTCTAAGCACTCAGCTGTAGCTGTAAGATGTTAGACACATCCAAGTGGTTATTATTTAAATATAGGAATTTATTCTTACTGTAAGAAGACCCATAAACAAAGAGAAAAGCTAATAAAATTACTTTGGCTTTGGTAGTCCTGATCGGTGTTCATTTGGTATTCTCATAACATTTAGGCTAAAATACCATGCCACTGAGTGCCAAAGGGTGACTCAATGGGTGCATTAAGGTGCATAACACTACAAGTTAAGCAGACGTATTCTCTAAAGGCTGTAAATGTTTATTCAGCTTATGTTTTCTGATTCGAGTCTTTGATACAAAATAAAACTGAATCAAAATTGTGAAACACGGTTTTACTGACACCTAATGTTGGCCCTTAGCGCAAAATCTGTGTTAGATATACGTTTTGTTAAGAAACTACCTAATTGAATTACGAATCAAGCGCGCTCAGCAACCTTGTGCACATTCGTTCAGTAGATGGTGAGCCACATCTATTCTGTGAAGACTAATAATACTATCTGGGTGCCCGAGGCTCGGTAGGTGGGGTGGGGTTCCAACCCGTGACCCATCGTATGGAAACCAACTGCCTAGACTAGTCAAGCACAGCTCCACGTTTTTAGTTACTAGGAGTCAGCCGTCGAGAGGCTCTGGGATTGTTTCATGCTTGTCAGTTGTAATTAACAAAACTAATTTACAACCATGAGCCAAATGGTGTCCCGCTGGTTATTTTAATTTAGTATCAAAGTTAGAAACCTAACTGCTGAGCTATTCAAACCGTGACAGCCCCTTCAGGGCTTGACAGTCAGAAAACAAGGGAATGGAAATCCAGATACAGGGAGGATAAGGCATCATCGCAGCACCGAGCAAAGAACGAGCGGGTGGAGAAAGGGTAGCGCCATAGTGCGAGTCAACCATGGGAGGAGAGATTTAAAAATATAAAGACTAGTGAAAATGTTCCATATTTAGAAGACACTAAAGAGTGAATATTTCTGCTACATTGTGACCGGTTTCCAGCCATGTCATAAAGAATCTTCAACCGTTGATTACTATTATCTTGAGGAAAGCAAACTAACAGTTTAGACCTCCATACACGTTCCAGACCAGTAGCAAAGGACTGTCGACTGATACAACGTTTTGGTCTGATAATCTTGAACCATCTTCCTACCTAAAGCTATTTTGCCTACTAAGGTAACTCGTTGTCTTCCATGCTCAATGCATGTTTAGTTCATCTCAATCGGTGAGGGTTGACAGTCGCATTGATTGACTTGTCTTCTCTGCCTATTACGTGTCACCTAACCGGGACATTGCTCACATGGTGATTCCACCATGCGTTACTAATGCTGCGAAGACACTGTTGTCGAAAGCTCTAACCTTTTCATATATTTTACTTTCAGTAGCCTTGTCTCAAAACCTTATAGTGGGACATAGTGAACTGTGGTGTAGTGTACTCACCCTTTAATAAGTAGTTGGGTATCACGCTGTCGCCACAGTTGGTGTAAGTTGGCAGATGCCAAACATGCCTTTTGTATACGACGAAATTTTTTTCAGCAATGAACCCACTTGAGCTTATGCAACTCCCCTAGTAGTAAGTGAAGTGGTAAATGCATTTCATCACTTCAGTCTCGATTTTTAGATTGACAGCAGCATCAGGCCAGTGTTGAAGCATCATCTTAAATGTGACAAATGTGAAACGCATACCAAACGTGCTCAGATTTCTAAAAGCTTATAGAAGACCTTGCACTTTGTCTGTGTCTTCGCCTGATAGGACTGTGTCATCTGCGTAATCCATGTCAGCGAGGTGCTCTCCAGGGAGCTGGTCGATTCTTGTAACCCCTGAGGTACTTAGGGTTATGTATATTTGTGGGTTGATGACGAAATTAAACAGGAAAGATGGTAGGAGGCATTACTGGTGGACACCATTGGGTGGCGTCACTTCATCTTCATATCACAACTTCGCAAGTTCCACGACAACATGAAGTAGAATCGAAGGGATTGATTCTTGGAAATACTAGTGCTAAAATATTTGTGGCGTTCTTATGGATTTTAATTTCTTTGTTTGTGCTTAGATATATCAAAGCTTGTTGTTGAATGTTTTAATCAACTCTAGACTTCTTAACTGCACCAGAAGCGATAACTGTGAAATGTTCCAAATGTCCTTATATTTCCATTCAGTGGGTTCAGGGGATTCTGGTGAATAGTGGAGTATTCACCTAGCAAGAATATGTAATGCCGACACAGTCTGTAGTCCGTTGATGCTATGCTGTCTCAGAATGCTACAGATAGTCTGCTCGCTCGTTATTCACATTTGAAATTCAGGTATTATAAACACTCAATGATTTCTTGAGGGTAGACCTTTATTGTACGGTGTACTTCTTCCTCATTTTTGTCTAAGGTGAAAAGCATAAGCGCAAAAGAAAATGTGATTGGCTGGTTCTCTTATTGAAGAAATGTTTGTCGAGCCGTAAAACATTTCTATTGGAATCGAACAATTATTTATTGCAATATGATTAGCTGAGCGTGAATTAGCTATTTCCGCTTATGTGGGCTTTGAAAATCAACAGTATTTGTCAGATAAAATCATTTTTGGAAAAGTTTTCTCCATCCGGTTAAGATTGGATCAAAAGCTTAGGTAGAATTAGCAAAGATTTTATCTTGCAGTGGCGTTGTACAATATATTGGGAAGTGTATAAAGGAGTATTGAGTGTAATTTATAACTGGATACTACGTTTATTGAACTATTCAAATCTTTGTAGGAATATACTGCTAACTGTGGTTTTAAGGATAATGGTGATGAGATACCGTTTAGTAAGCTGTGGTAATTGTGGACCGTGATATATATATATATATATATATATATATATATATATATATATATATATATATATATATATATATATATATATATATATATATATATAGTTTGCCAGAGAAAGTCACGCTACATCCATTTCGCATTACTCATTTAAAACCAGTGTTGATTTAATAATCACGTATATATGTACGTGCTTGAAAATGTATTTTCGTGTTTGCCGAGAAGTCGTGACCGTGAACTGTCTTCCTCTATACTTATTATTGAAAAGTGGATTTATTGTTAGGGGAAACCACCGCACTGTTAAATTCGTACAAATAATGTATTTTATGTCTAATGTCGCACAAGCTCGAAGATCTACAGGCGAAAACTAACAAGTTGGCAAAAGAGGCAGAGGAGGAAGACGGGACTTCAGGTGAACGTAGAGAAGACAGAGGTAATGGAGATACCCAACCAACAACAAACACCAATCTTCATCAACGGGAGAAATCTAAAAGAAGTTGTATCCTTCACCTACATGGGTAGCATCGTTTCAACTACAGGCGGCGGTGGCACAGATGAGGATGTCAAGCAGCCAGGATCAAAAAGACAGCAAGACAGGCCTTCATTAATCTGAAATCAGTGTGGAGTTCTACTGCACTCAGTATAAAGAACAAGATCCGGATTTTCAACACTAATGTCAAGTCAGTGTTTCTGTGTGATGGTTGGGAGACTTGACGCGTTACGAAAAGCATTTCTAACAAACTACAGACATACATGAACAGCTGCTGCCTACGCTCACTGGATACTGAAGGTCAAATGGCCAGCAACAAGGAACTCACTCTGGTCTGCCAACGAACCAACCAAGAACCTATCGCCCAACAAATATACAGAAGGAAGTGGAGATGGATTCTGCATACACTGACAGGATCGTTTGGGGGCATCACACACCAGACCTTCGAGTGAAAGCCAATGGGGAAGCGACGAGTTGGGTGTCCGATGGTGACATGGAGGAGATCATGTGAGGAAGAAATGAAAGCTTCTGGGAAGTGGTGGCGCCAGGTTCAAGAGACTACAGAGAAGAGAGTGAAATAGCGACGTGCTACTGAAGCCCTATGTTCCACTAGGAACTCAAGGGACAAGTAATGATAAAGTTTACTTAAGCTCAGATTAACGGAGATCAGTTATATAAAGAAGTGGTAGTATATGTGAATTTTCATTGCTATTTCATAACTGCAGTAAATCGTCTTATAAATAAATATGCAGTTTATTGTCGGCAAGGGGAAATGTGAGAATCTTCGACAACCCTTTTAATTATGGTTGGCAGTTTCAGATTATATACTGATTTCTCTCCTTACACTGATCGATAGCTGGTACTTGACATGTAGCACAGAAGTCAAGCGTAAAGTTTTAGGGAGAAGAGATAAGCCAGTTGAC